GAGAACTTCACATACAACTTACGATCACGAAGAATTTTTAAAACCCGCCGCAAATGATTAGCATGGTCCTTTTCCAATCTTGAATACACCAAAATGTCATCTATGAATACTATCACGAACACATCTAGAAATGGCTTGAACACCCTATTCATCAAATCAATAAAGTTGCTAGTGCATTTGTTAGCCCAAATGACATGACTAAAAACTCAAAATGAACATACCGTGTCTGAAAAGCTGTCTTGGGAATATCTTTGTCTTTGACCCTTACTTGGTGATAACCCGACCTCAAGTCAATCTTCGAAAAACACTTAGCAATGTAACTGATCAAACAAATCATCACTTCTAGGAAGGGGATATTTGTTTTTCATTGTTACTTTATTCAATTGTCGGTAATCAATGCACATTCTCAACGAGCCATCTTTCTTACGTACAAATAAAACTGGTGCTCCCCATGGGGACATACCAGGCCTTATGAATCCTTTTTCTAACAAGTCTTTTAATTGCTCCTTCAACTCTCGTAATTTCGTCAGGGCCATTCTATATGGAGGAATGGATATATGTTGAGTATCTGGAATCACATCAATACCAAACTCTACTTCTCATTCTAGAGGCAAACCCGGAAGATCTTCGGGAAATAAATCGGGAAATTCATTTACCACTGGAATGGATTGAGGGGTTGGTGACTCTGCATCTATATTTTTCACCCTCACTAGATGGCATATGTATCCTTTGGACATCATCTTCTTTGCCTTAAGGTACGAAATAAACTTACCTCTTGTTGCCCCAATATTACCTTTCCATTCAAGGACTGCCTCTTTTGGAAAATGGAAACGCACAATCTTAGTTCGACAATCTACCATGGAACAACAAAAAGCTAATCAATCCATACCCATTATAACATCAAAATCTATCATTTCTAGCTCAACAAGGTCAGCCAATGTATCACGATCACAAATAGTTACAATGCAATAACGATAAACCCTTGTAGCTATAATAGACTCACCAATCGGTGTAGACACTTAAAATGGCTTCACTAATAATTCTGGAGTTCTTTTGAACTTTCCAGCAATCAATGGAGTAACATATGACAATGTAGACCCTGGATCAATTAGTGCATATACAATATGTGAAAAGATGGACAATGTATCTGCAACCACATCCGGTGAAGCTTCCAAATTTTGTCGATCCCCTAGACCATATGTGTGATTCTGAACTCCACTAGAACTAGTTGCTCCCCTCGCTCCACTACCACAACCTGTAGGCATCTGTAGTCCCCTACCTAAATAAGGTGTTGATGATGATGATGCAATAACTGATCTAGTAGGTTGTACCACACCGCCCACACCCCTATGAGGGCAATTTCTCATCATATGACCCGGTGTACCACACCAAAAACAAACATTTGTCCCAAACCGACATGCACCTAAATTATTTCTCCCATATTGTTTACAAGACTGTCGATGAGGTCTTAATTGGCTCATACTTCCCTGCTCTTGGTACCCCGATGTTCGTGAACCTTGGCTTTCACCTCTTTGCCCAAACTAATTGCCCCTAGACTCTTGAAACAGAGGTGGGGCACTAACTGTAGAGTAGGAAGATGATGGCCTAGACGATCTGTTAAAGAACCGAGGCCTAAACTCACCTTGGGATGGTGTAAACTGCCCCATGGATCTGGCCCTCTTAGAATCCCCTGTTTCCGACTATTGTGTCCTTCTTCTTTGCCTTTGATCCTCCAACTTTTGTGCAAAAGCTTGCATCCTTGCTATATCCATATCTTTATTCAATGAAGCAATGGTACAATCTCTAACAAGATATGAATCTAATCTATCCACATATAGATGAACTCTACCCTCCATAGTAGCTACTACATTAGGAGCATACCTGGCCAATGAATTAAATTTGAAACTGTACTCTCTCACTCTCATACTTCCTTGGTAGAGATTTAAGAACTGATCTGCACAGGCCTCTCGGATCTCCAATGGTAGGTAATGGTCAAGGAATGCCTTTTTGAACTTTTTCCATGTAGCTAAAGGTACATCTGTCCCCCTAGATTGCTTCCAAGGTTCACACCACAATATAGTCACACATTTTAATCTATATGCTCTAGCTCAAGTGCTTCTTTACCACTCACATGCATAACTTCCAAACTGCGTTGAATCTGGTCTATAAAGTCTTGTGGATCTTCATTAGGATCTGACCCGGTGAATGATTGAGGGTCCAAATTAAGTAAATCATGTATCTGTGTGCCCGCTACTCTATCTACACCACTAGTACATGCAACTGGACCTTCTTGCCTTTGGCCATGGCCAACAACTATACGAGTCAATAATTGGACTGCATTCTTTAAATCTTTCTCGCTAGCATTAATAGGGGGGTTCTTAAGGTGCAACTTCCCTCCTTAGATCTTTTGGAGATGGAGGGGTTGGGGAAGTCTATGATAGAAACTCATCTTGAGCCTCACTTTGAACAACTTGATTAGGTGGTGGTTGGCTGGTCCCTTCTTAGGCAGTCACATCTACTCGTTTACCTGTACTTTTACTCCTTCTCGTAACCGGCATCTTTGCTATAATAAAGCAATTCAGAAGTTAGATATAGCACACGAAAATAGGCAAAATGGGTTGACCTTCTCCGAGGGTCATTTGACCTTGAAAATAGGTCATTTTAACCATCAAGGTCAACTGGCTTCATAGCTAAGGTCTTAACGGATGTCCATGAAAAATTTCGGCAAAAATAACATCAGAATTCCGAATCACCAAAAAAGATGGTTAACTATAGCACACGAAAATCGGCAAAATGGGGGGTTTACCTGCTCCGGGGTTCGTTTGACCTTGACAATGGGTCATTTTCACCATCAGGGCTAACTGGCTCCATAACTAAGGTCTTAACGGACGTCCATGAAAAAATTCGGCAAAAATGATGTCAGAATTCTGGATCACCAAAAATCCATGGACTTAGCATATGAAAATAGGCAAAATGGAGGCTTTACCTGCTCTAGGGATCGTTTGACCTTGAAAATGAGCCGTTTTAGACCTCAGGGCCAGCTGGCTCCATATCTTAGGTCTTAACGGACGTCCACGAAAAATTTCGGCAAAAATAAAGACGTAATTCCGTATCACCAAAGAAGATGGTGAACTATAGCACAAGAAAATCGATAAAATAGGAGATTTACCTGCATCGGGGATCGTTTGACCTTGAAAATGGGACATTTTGGCCGTCAGGGCCAACTGGCTCCATAACTAAGGTCTTAACGAACGTCCAAGAAAAATTTCAGCAAAAATGACATCAAAATTCTGGATCAGAAAAAGATGGTGAACTATAGCACACAAAAATCGGTAAAATGGGGGGTTTACCTACTCTAGGGTTCGTTTGACCTTGAAAATGGGCCGCTTTGGCCGTCAGGGTCAATTGGCTCCATAGCTGAGGTCTTAACGAACATCTATGATAAATTTCAGCAACAATGACGTCGTAATTCTGGATCAACAAAAAAGATGGTGAACTATAGCACACGAAAATCTGTAAAATGGGGGATTTACCTGCTCCGGGGATCATTTGACCTTGAAAATGGGTCGTTGGCTCCAAATCTAAGGTCTTAACGGAAGTCCATGAAAAATTTCGGCAAAAATGACGTCGGAATTCTTGATCACCAAAAAAGATAGTGAACTATAGCACACGAAAATTGATCAAATGGAAGGAGGGGGGGTTTACCTGCTCTAGGGCTCGTTTGACCTTGAAAATAGGTCATATTTACCGTCAGGGCCAACTGGCTTCATAGCTAAGATCTTAACAAAAGTCCATGAAAATTTTTGGCAAAAATGACATCAGAATTCTAGATCACCAATAAAAATGGTAAACTATAGCACACGAAAATCGACTTAATGGGGGGTTTACCTTCTTCGGGGATTGTTTTACCTTGAAAATGGGACGTTTTGGTCGTCAGGGACAACTGTCTCCATAGCTAAGGTCTTAACGGACGTCGATGAAAAATTTCGGCAAAAATGACGTCAGAATATCGAACCACCAAAAAAGATGGTGAACTATAGCACACGAAAATCGGCAAAATAGGGTGTTTACCTGCTCTGGGCTCGTTTGACCTTGAAAATGTTCTGTTTGGCTATCAAGGCCAACTGACTCCATAGCTAAGGTCTTAACGAACGTCTATGAAAATCTTCGGTAAAATAGATGTCGAAATTCCGGATCACCAAATAAATTGGTGAACTATAGCACACGAAAATCGGCAAAATGGGAGGTTTACCTGATTCGAGGCTCGTTTGACTTTGAAAATGGGCCGTTTTGGCTGTTAAGGCCAACTGGCTCCATTGCTAAGGTCTTAACGGACGTCCAGTAAGATTTCAGCCAAAAACACATCGAAATTCCGAATCACCAAAAATCCATGAACTATAGCAAACGAAAATCGACAAAATGAGGAATTACCTGCTCTAAGCTCATTTGAACTTGAAAATGGGCCAATTTGCCGGTCAGGACCAACTGGCTCCATTGCTAAGGTCTTAACGGACGTCCATGAAAATTTTCGGCCAGAAACACACCGAAATTCCGAATCACCAAAAATCCATGGACTATTGCACACGAAAATCGACAAAATGGGGGTTTACCTGCTCTAGGGCTCGTTTGAACTTGAAAATGGATCGATTTGCCAATCGGGACCAAGTCATATCAACAAAATATTCATTACCAACCCCACTTCCATTACTACCGCAGACTACACATAATCAATTAGATTAGATAGATATATCCCTCAACATAGATCATCAAAAAGATCTCAAAAACCCAACACTATTAGGATAATAAGTAAAGATACCGAACAAAAGGAATAGTTAAAAATTTACATATTTTCCTACTTAAACATTTTCCCTTGGTCCAAACACACTCATAGTATATATTTCTAGTAATTTGTTTATCTTATCAATGGTATTAAACTAATAATAACCATAGAAAAAATATAAATAGATGTAACAATATAGTATTTACTAACAACCAAAAAGTTGGACAAAAGAACTAATTAACATTAGCATATGTTGATTCAAATAATTAGCTAATCCTTTGATAGCCAATTAGTCAGCAATTCGACACGTTAATAATCATATCTACTATGAGAACAAAAAGTCAAAACACAAACAAAAGAAAATGAAGATTAACACACTAACACATTTTGGGTTACATGCAAAAATATTTGAAGAGCAGTTCGATCGTTGACTTCTCCAACATATTGGCGTGGCGGATCCAAGTCAGTATTCCTAGTTGTGCACGGTGGCCTGAGGTGCCGGATGTGGTGGCTGGCCCGCCGGAGGTTTACATTGGTAACATTTTGCAAAAAGGCCAAATGTATCAACTTGTTTGATGAAATTGCTCATACTGGCCCATCCACCAAACCCAAACCCAACAACTAAAACCCAGCCTACTATAAAAATGTTAATAACATACATGATAGTCCAGCTTGGCATGAAGGATGGTGGCTTTTCTGCTGCATTCTGCAAATTTTATTCAAATAAAGTGAGTAGGTTTAATTTTATATACTAACAATATAAAAAATATTTATACAATAATATTTCTTAAAAGAGGGACAAATTTTTTATAGACTAATGGATTGGTCACATGATAGAAATGAAAATGGATAATTTGTTTAATGTATATCAAATTACATTTAATACATAAAATAAATAATTTTCATTGTGAAAATCAATTACTCTATCTTTTAGATGATTTGATAGTAAAAACACGTGAGTGCTGTATTTGTTTTACAAGTAAGAATTTGGGTTGACAGTTGTGTGAGATACAAATAATTCTCTTCCTAATTCAATAACATGACACAATATATATGTCAAGACAAATAAAATATTCTTTGTTACAAGGGGATCTAAAAGGAATTGTAAACATGGTCAAACCTCTATATAACAACATCGTTAGTTTGGATAGGCGTTGATTGATATAGCAAAATGATGTTATACATAACATAAAAGATCGATTCCACTAGATTATTGTTATAGAAAGATCTGACAACTGTATATATGCAAATAAAGTATAATCGAGTAAATTTTTGGAAGGTGCATAGAAATAAATGCATTACCTGTCGAGCAGAGGTTGTTCTATAAGTGAGCATATGAGCAAGAGCTGGAATGATGTAGACAGTGAAACTAACCAAAAGAGCCCCAACAGCAGAGTTAATAGGCCCAAAGAATGGGAATATAATAGCCAAAAACCATATGGGTATCACCACAGGCAACCTAACAAGTGCCCTTAAGCATATGCTTTTAGTGTCATGCATCCCTATAACCTTCTCCCACACAAAGTACAACGGCGTACACGCGAATCCAAACGTGATAAACTGGTGTATTAGCATCAATATAACTGCAGCATCGCGCCATCTGTCTTTTGGAAGAAGTGAAAATGCGTTACTATGGTTAAGAAGTTGATCTCCGAATGCCCAGTAGACTGCTGAAGCTGATGGAATAGTTAGGGTGAAAACGTAGAGTGTAGCTATTAGGTAAATGTACTTGAACTTCTGGGGTTTCCACATTGCATGCATAATTTCCCTGTAATGATATTGTGAGTGTGAGAAGTCCTAATAATAGAATATGGACATGGGCGACTCAATAGAATGGGCTGACATCTAGCTTTTTAAGATACAAAGTAATTATTTCTATATAATCAGCTTTAGAATGAATATTTATTTATTTTTTCAATTTAAAGCTCAAATACTTTTCAGAGTATGTACTTTTTCAAGGCATGAAAATTGAAAGTGATGTATTCATTGACTTGGCCACTTGGGGGTAAAGTAGCCACTGAAGATGGAATAAAATGATATGTTCTCTAAGTAATTATTTAAAGTGATTGCAAGTACGTTGAAGAATATTGGCATTGGATTCTTCTGCACTATAACTCTAAGTTGTCTCGTATGAATTTAAAACATATATTGATATTGACAAGAAACTACAACAAAAAAGAAAATTTTTGCACCAATTATTTAACGACAATAATATAATATGGGTTTTAAGCCAACACACTATATAAATGTCGTTACCGGGTTTAGCGACTCTGGAGTGGATATAATTGTATTAACTCAATTGTCGATAAATATTTTTACGACAATAAATATTTCCCCTAAAGGAAAATCTATTGCCACTAAATGTCTCTTTTGTTGTGATGAGAACTTTATAGGGAAACTCATGAATATATACCATTTCGCCAACTAATTTACCAATATAGTCAAAAGGTATACCATGTATACACTATATATATATATATATATATATATATATATATATTATATATATATATATTATACCCAAAACTAAAATATCAATTATTTTAGATCGAAGAGAGTAATTAGCTAGGATGCCTTGTTATAACTTGAGGCTCTTTTCGGAAGGGGATATATATATATATATATATATAATGCCTAAAATCATTTTTTTCATGGTAATATGACTAATATCATTAATTAATACCCACGCCCATTAATGAGAGTGAACGTGTGTAACAATGGTTTTGACTTTTGACCATGAAAATTGTTTATAGGCCAATTACATAATTTTACTACTCTTGCCACTAGGAAAACTATGTCATAAAAATATCTTCTTCTATCACTCTATATAATTTAAAATACATTATAAAAGTAGTTCAAAATGTTAGCTAGCTATATATTATTAACAACCTAAGGGTCATGTCAAGTATAAAAAATGAAATTACCATGGACAAGACTTTTTTTCCAACTAGATTATATTTTACGCGTCAAAACTCAAAATTACCAATCTATGGAAAATATAATAAAATAATTAGTGGAAGTTAAAATTTAGAAAGAAGCATCTAGCAGTGAGATGGTAATAATCCATGCATATATAGTTTAATTATATGGAGGCATTTATAATATGGAAAGTAGTGGAGGGAAAAAAATTATAGATAGATGTTTATATTTTTGTAAATTTTGGATGAATCCAAATAGTTTTCACGGGGAATTTGGAGTTCCCCCTTTACTACAGCCGTCACCTTTGTCTTCACTTCTCAGTCCTCTCTTTTTTTCCTCTCTTTCTACACGTGCCTTTCTTCCTCTCCATCACTATTCTTTTTTTGAAAAATAAATATCTATCATTATTTCAAATATATTATTATTTAAAATATTCCTAATGCATGATCAATTTGCTTTTTACCTTTCTACCGTACACACTATCGTGACATCTCGTGATCACACACATATATATATATATATATTATGTATAGATATGTAAATTATATGTATGTTTAGTATTAAAGTATACACTACTACGTATTTTATAAATTAGTCGACTAAAGTGTTTAATTATCCCTACTTTTTATGTTAATCATATAGTATATATGCTTATTCTATAAAACATTCATTTACAAATGAGTAAAAACTAAATGAGAGCTTACACAGTAACAGCATGTCCACCAAAGGTGTAAAGAATATTCGTGGCACCAGTGAAATATAGCACAATCTTTGCTGGAGCAGTGTGTTGTACATTTTCAACCTATAATGACACATAATAAATGACCCCTCCATCATCATTTATAAAAATTGCAAAAATAAATTTGAATGTATAATAGAGTAATAAATGATGGATGATATTATTTAGGAAATAATTATATTAATTACTATTTACCTGGCCATGAATGACAGCAGCAATAGTTAAGTACCATGCTGTATAAGTGGTCATCCCAAGGCCAAGAAAAGACCAAATCCTATAGTTATGGAAAGAAGGAATGAAAACTGTGGTGGCACAGCAAGCTCCAAATATGTATGTCCATGTCCTCTTGTCTAAATGGTCACTGATGTAATATATGTTACTGTTCCAAATTAAAAAAATCCATCAAATTAATAATCAAGATCAAGTGATCACAATTAACTCCCAATTTTTGGCGCAATTGCTTCCCAATTGCACTAAGCTCTGGCTAGTCGCTACGCACAACAAAGGCGGAGCAAAGGTTTCATTTAAATTTCCTTTGACGAAAAATTATATTATTTATAAATGGCTAAAATTATTTTTTATGGACATATAATAAATGTTAAATCCCTTTCAATTAATTTGTGTGGCTAGTTATTCATATTGTGAAGCTCAGAGTGAAATCCTAACATTCACTCATGTGCGACATTCGTCTATTTTCAAAATTATTCATGAAATGGCTAAACCACAAGGGTCTATGATAAACAGATTAATTCTAAATTAACACAAAAGAAGGTTTTCACACATCAAATTTGTAATCTCCTTATCACGTCGCAACAACTTTACCAATTACCCCTCATATAGCTTGGACCTTAGCTTAGGTCAATTTGCACATACATTATCAACTATTACTTCATAACTCTCACTAGTATATATATCTATTGAAGTAATTAGACAAATGTAAAGAGTAAGTTTTTAACAATACCAGCTAACTCTCACTATTATATGTGTCTCTTTGAAGTAAATTAGACATATATGAAGAGTATTATTTTTAATTAAGAAGTATTTAAACTACGGTTTAAATGAAGAAGGGAGTAATGGGTCCGTACCTTGCGCAAGCAATTAGTTGTATGACAGATCCAAACAGAAGGAACGTACAGTTGAAGGCAAGGCCTGCTGCTTTCCAGTAAGGACCCAATAGTCCATCAAGCACTTCAAACCACTACCAGTTGAAACAAAAAAAGTCAGATACAGCGTAAACATTAATAAATCTATTTGCAAGTCTTAAGATTCTGAAAAAGTACTATTTTAAAATAAAATAATGAAAATATTAAAAGTTGAACTATGTGGCGGTGCGGTAGAACTAACAGTGGCGAAGCCAGAAATTTGTTAAAAAATTTCACTAGTTAATATATACCTATGAAAAATGATATCATCGACCTAGATGTATACTAGAATAATTTTTCGATAAAGGATGTGCTCATGTTTACTATAATATACTACTAAAATTCAATTTTTTGTCGTTCTGATTCGTATACCTGAATGACATGATTTTTGAAGTTGACACCTTCTTTCTCTTTTCTGCTTCTGTACTCTATGTAGAGAACACTGATGAGGTATGCAGTCCAGCTCCCAACAAGACCATAGAACACTTGAAACACTATGCCAGATACCATACCAAGTTGAGAAAATGAATATGGCAGTGTTAACAGCACCTGAGCAACCTGTTAAAATAAATGAATTAGAAAATACAGTACAAAATATGACAGAGCAACCACACAATAATATATCCGGTGTAATCCCACGGAATGGGTACGCGAAAATCACCACAACTCGGAGATAGAAAGGTTGTTTCCAAAAGCAATACAAAATATGATATATTAAAAGAAAAAGAAATGTAGTAAAAGATTTAAAAGTACTTGATTAGAAGCACAGCTGAACCAAGCATCCCAAACAGAGCCACCATGCCAGAGGAGGCTTTTGACACTGAAAATAGACTGATCTTCTTCACCTAATTTCTCAACTTCCTCCCCATCACGATCAGTTCCATTGAAGTTTGAAACAATAGCTTCCTCTGCTTGCTTCTCAGCATACATTTTAATTTTAAAGAGAAGAGGTCTAAATTTCAGCAGATCTGCAAAAACACACAAAAAATATACAAAATGAGACCCAAAAAAAAATACACCAGCCCCAACACTGAAGATTCTTCCCCAAACCCAAAAAAAAAACTAATTTCCAAGAATTTCCAAGATCCCAAAATTTTTACTTGAAATACCTTGATTTTGAGATATCTCTTTCTTGAAACTTAGATAGATCTCTGTTGAAGCAAAAAAAAAAAGACTCCTCCTCTGCTATTATTCTGTATGTTTTGTGTCCTCGAAGTGAAAATAAAAAACAGAGCACTACTGAAAAAAACAGAGCAAGAGAGAAAGAAGGAAAAAAAAACCCACTAGTGAAGCAGAGATAACAAAACAAGTTTCGAAGATTGCTCCATTTCAAGAATATGACAGATACTATAAATGTAGCTGAATAATAATTGCAGCAACAAAATAAATATTATTTCTGAAACTACAACTAATTGTGAAGTCGACTTAAATGCAGTTGATTTTATATTTATAATCAGAGAAGATACGGATATTAGCAGGGCGGCAGGGGCGCGGCCGAATCAGAAAGATGGCGAAAGAGACCTTAAAAACAGCAAAAAAGGGACTCAGAGATTATCTATTAGTAGTGCACAGACTAGAAAGTAGACGTAGAAGTAGAAACAGAGCAAGAAAAAGTCACTTTTCAGTAGTAGTATTTTCAAGTAAACGTATTTTATAAACAACAACAACTAGTTAGCTATTTAGATTTCGCCCTAAATTTTTTTAGAGATTCTTGGGTGAGCATTTTGTGCACATAGTGAGGAATTATAATTTTTGCTACTATTTTTATTCTTGGGGCGAACACTTTTGAAAAGCTATTAAGATGGATCAATTTCGGATTATTCATGTGAAATTGTGAAGGGTGAATGTATATCCTCCAAACCAATTAAGTCATTTCGAAGGAAAGTTTCTTTAAATATTTTTAAAAGTTGATTTTTGATAGAAATTTGACTTTCACTGATAAAATTTTAAGAATTCAAGTGCAATACATATTTAAATACAATTTCAAAAATTTAATACTCAAAATTTTATCTTCAAAATATATAATCGAATAAAAGCTACTATGTGTTTATAATAATCCCTCTCATCTTTTAATTTGTGTGTCTTTTTTTTTATTAATCTATTTTGAAATATTCTTTTTAAATTTGAGTATATTTTAAATTTTAATATTTCATGTGATATATTTAAAATTATAAGATTAATAAAGATATTTTGATACATTATATTCTTCGATCTCAAAATATTTGTTATATTCTTTATTTACACCACTCTTAATAAAATTTACAAGATAGATTGACTATTTAATTTTTACCTTAATTATCTTTAACATATAATCTCTTTTCAGGGGTGTATGCCTATTTTTGTATAGTAAAATTTTACAAGTAACCTAATTGCGTAAAGCTTTACCCAACTTGAGTTAATAGTATTTAAACTCCGTTTTTTATAGGCTGTTAACATTATAAACGCTCCTTACGGCCACATATTTTAATTGAAAACTTAATAAATATATTATGGAAAAATAATACTTATATACTATATCACTCTATGTTTGACTATAATTTTATTTTGCATGTGCAATGCTTTCGTAAAAATTACAAAAGAATATTTCAATTTAAAAATAATTGTTCTCTTAATTTCAGCTAAAGATATCGTGTGCTAGATCTGTAAATTTTTATTCAATATAGTGTGAAAACGTTCCAAATTAGCCACTTGACGGTGGATTTTACTTTTAATAACAATCAAATTTCTCTCAACCTATCCAATTATTTTTGCGTCTTATTTGTAATTAGTTTATTTAAAATATTACATTTTACATTTTATAACTACTATTAATTTTTGACATTTTACATTACATAATCAAAATCTCATGATTTAAAAGATATTTTGACATATTAACACTATCTTTAATTTATTTTCATAATTTCAAAAGTTTTTCTTAATTAACTTTGTTCTCTGTCATTAAGACACATAAAATTAAACAGAGGGGTAGACTTGTATAAGTTTGTTAAGTGTGTTTCATTTTTAAAATGATTATATTAAAGTTTTACTGTAATTAAGATTGAGACAAAAAGAATATCCCTTACTTATATTGATTCTGTGAGAATTTAATACATTTACCTAATTCCTGGCATATATTGGCCTTCTTTTTGTTTTTTCTTTAAAATTTTTTAGAGGAGATAGGACAGAGAATCATAAAAATAGGATTACGTTTTCTTTGAATGATGTATAATTGTATTACCGTTATGAAAAATTTGGAGAATTGATTTTATAGGTAATTTATCATTATTATTTTTGTTTTATGTTCTTTTTATTAAAAAAAATATTTTTATATATAAAAAAATAAAATGTCTAATTTTTTTAATTCATTTTGTAAGTGCCTAATAAATCTTAATTTCTTCAAGAATTCTTACAAGAAAAATTAACATTACTTGAGATGATCTCAGAATAAGAAATGTATGTAACTGTAGGAATGATCACTGTGATGGAATCAAGTCGGTTTACGACGGATGCCAATGATGATAACTTGACTAATACAAATTAGCTTTCTAATATCATCCAACTTTGGTTAGTAATATATGAAGTCAGTCAAATATAGGAAGATTATTCAAATCTTATAAGGAGCTCACGATTTAATTCATTCACTAATGTGAGACATTTCATTCATTATTACCACTAGGCTCGTTTCACCCTCGGATCCGTATGTATATTCTTTATCCGGAAATTTACTGCTTCAGTCCCGTGCATCACATTCATGTACCAGAGATATTTCCACCCCTATAGTTATTTTCCAATTTTCTATATGGTCTGACTTTGATGTTATTTCAAATTAGATTTTGAATCTAACTCACTCTAAAAGTTATCTGAAAGAAAAAAGTGTTATCCAAAACTTATAAGAAGATCAGTATTTCATTCATTCCGATCTTAATGCCAATCAAAGTCTTGATGTGGGGATATTCCATGTATAAAAAAGTTCAAATTTATTATCCTTCCACATTAGACCAAGGCTTAAAATTTCCTTCGTCATACTTTAAATAAAATTTACTCTTCTTTATCTTTTAACTCATCTTTTTGTTAAAACTTAAAATAATGTGCCACACAAGCCAATCACAGAATAATATTCGAAATTTTGCAATCTTTTTCTAGCGTTCATATTGTTTTCAAAACTTTTTCTCCTACTGTTATCATTATTATTATTATTATTATTATTATTTTCCCATGCATTAATAATGTAATGAGCATTCCACTTACATGTTGATTGTTGACTAATAAAGTGAAATCAAGGACTGATGAGGTGTAACCAACAAATTAGAAAGATTTTTAGTCAATCCTGATTATTAATTTCCCTTCACTTTTATCATGTTGATATTTTTTTTTGTTATTTTAAAAATTATTATTATTGCTAATATAATGTTAGTGGAGGAATTAATGATTAAGGAATGGATTATTTCGGGCACGAGAGATCAAAATTAAGCAACATGTTGGGTTGTTGACATTCACATGGGTCCAACTATTACTTCTTAATTGCTATTCCACCCATTCTTTCCTGGTGAATTATTTGAAACACTCTTAAATTTGGCGTGGAGTACTATTAATTTTATTTTTAAATTATTGACAATTTTAAAATATTTTTTTATTTGACTAACTAAACTTAAAACACCCTTGATATTTTTGTAACATGAGTTAAATACACCCTAAATTCTTATCAAGTTTAGGAATGTTTTCAACATCTCTCTCGATTTTTATGAAGACCTCTGTGCTCCTACAAAAGTTTGAGACCACTTATTATGTTATGTGGCAGATCGGATGTGTATCAAATTTAGTTATCAAGTATAGAGTTGTTTTTAAAGCTGTCATTAGTTCACAGCAGGGGCACATGCAACATATACTCACCGGAAAATATTACTATTTAGACATGGTTAACATTATTTTTTAGGTATATATATTAGATGTCGAACCCCCTTCCACAAGTTCATGTGTTTACTTCTCAGATTTTGAACCTCCTTATTAAAAATCCTAGCTCCGTCACGGGTTCAAAGACGAAACTAATAATTTACATCAAGTTCAGAGGTATTTTCAATACTTCTCACATTCTTTCACTATTTATCAAAGGATTTTGAAATTAATACTCTTGAGTTATTTACTTAAATAAGAGCTAATATTAAAGGTTCATATTTTATGGAATTTAATATTTCTCGTAAAAAAAAAGTCCACGTTCAGAGAAATCAAGCTAGCAAACTGACCATTTTCAAAAAGACAAATGTGAACAGATTCAAATCGAGATAACTAATTAAGATTAAAGCTATATAAATAAATAAAAAACCTCATAATTGCACACCAAAAAACCTGCCATAAGAAGAAGAGCAAACAAATAAACACAAGAACACGAGTAATTCATTTTAGGGAAGGAAAGAGATATCAAAATTGAATAAACTACTGAAATTTTGTACTTTTCTATTTTAATTTGTTTGTTTTACTTTTCTTTTTTTTTAGTCTGTTCTGATTTGCTTTTGGACAATTCTTTAATTTTAACTTTTCATGTGACATGTTTAAAACTATAAAATTAAAGGATATTTCATACATTGTTGATTGTACATATCTTTATCTTAAGACCATAAATTTCTAAAAAAATATATTTTTTAAAATTTTGTGTCAAGTAAAAATCAGATAAATAAATTGAAGGAAATGTAATTTTAGGAAAAAGTATATACTAAGAACACAAATCTTGTGAGAGATATAATTGAAAAGATTAGCAAAATTTCTATTCCCTCGGTCAAAATTGATATTACTCACTTTTCTTTTTAATCCGTACAAAAAAGAATGATATATTTTATATTTAATAATGATTTAACTTTACAATCCCTATTTTATCTTTAATGAATTATTATAGTCACACAAATATTTAACTTATTTTAGACCACAAATTTTAAAAATTTACTTTTTTTAAAACTCTATATCAAGTTAAACCGTATCACATCACTTAAGAAAGAGAAAATACAAAATAGGTTTAAGGAAATATATTGTTTTCCAAGATCGATTTACAAAGTAAACTGAAATTAAACAAATCTTCACAAGGAAAGAAAATCTCCATGATTTGACAAGAGACGTGATGAGCAGAAAATTATGAAAGCTTATTCAAGAAGGAAATCAGAGCTTTTTTTGATTGAATAAAGGGAAAAAGGATAAATATATCCCTGAACTATTTAATGGTATACAAATATCCTTCGTCATATTTTTCGTTCATCAGTATCCTGCCGTCCAAAAATCAGTGCACAATTGCTCCTCCCACTAACGGAAGAGTTATTTGGTACACGTGGCGCAATCCTACGGCTCAACCCAATTTGATTAATTATTTAACACAAAATTTAAACATCCGCCCATTACCCATTTTAACTGTAACATCTCGCAACTTGAAATAGCTAGAAAGAAGCTATGAACTTGAAATAATCATTTTTGGAAAGTATAAGAAAATCTGGAAATTTTTAAATAATGTAAAGTTGAGATTTTGGTCAACTTCAATCGACCATAACTCCTAGCTCAGGATTATTTAGGTGTATTTCCAGATATGATTGGAAAGCTCTTGGATTTATCTTTCCAACGCCGCCGAGTTTGCACGATTCCGAGTTTGTATGAGTGAGTTACGTCCTTTGTAAGTTGGGCTGTTCGAATGAAGAAATGCCCAATCCAGAATTTAAAAGGGTAGTTTGGTCTTTTCCTTACCCAATTAATTAAAT